GATTAGTAACGCATTTTATCGAAATAATTATATGAACATTTATATGTACGTCTGACGTGTATATGTGTAGAATATGTGAATAYAGATATTATGCACATACATAAACATACGTATATATTCGTAACTTATTTGGATCTAAGTTGATGTGCAACTTTGTACAAAACGCCAAATAAAATATGTCTGTCTGTCTGTCTGTCAGTCTAATATTCTTCGCAAAGTGACCAAGAGGAAACCAAAGGAGCCTTGTTTTAAGTATGTATCTCCAGCCACAAAACTGCGCAAAAGCTCTAGARCCAATGATTGTTAATAAGGCTTTTGGTTCGATAACGAGCTGCATTATCCCCCCACGTTCCGAGGTGGTTCCATGGACACGTGAGTGTTGTTCTACAATRAGTATGGCATCATGGATTTCCCTGCTCTATCTTTCTTATGACCTGATCCAGGTTACAGCCTGTTGGTGGGCGTTTAGTTTTGAAGTYCTTTCTAGTGGTGTTGTGAGTTTTCGTCTTGCTGTGCACGTGTTTATATTCATTGTAAACGTGTTGACAGATACGCAATGAATATTCATTCATCATTAATTTATGGGCTYGTATGCATATAATTACAATCAGTTTTGGTTCACTAAACAGACCATCTCATGAGATCAAAACCTCTCAACCTTTCAAATATTTGCGCTAACAGTCAATGTAAAGAATGTTTTGACAYTAAAGAAGTGAATAAAGTTCAAGTTTAACTAAGATAGCGCAAACAATGACAGGCATTATAAGTGTACTTAGCGTAATTTATGATGATTTCTCATTAAGAAGACTAAAACCATTAACAGATTAATGTGAGAATTGTGAATTGGACATTGATTACTAGGACTTCAATAGAACAATAAAATTCAAAAGAAATTGCTCRATCCTCATTGGCTGACGAGACGATGATAAAATCGTCCAAACCATTATGCAATCTTTCTTATCCCCTTTATCCTCATATAAACACTGAACTGATCGTTTTGCTTGCACTGAGGAATCAAATTGCCGCCAGCCAGCATGTCGAAGATCAACAACAAATCATCTTGGAGGAGTCTTTCTAATGGTGTTCAAGAAAMCAAAGTTAAGTTAGCAAAAGAAATCACCTTCTACCAAATAGATGAAAACTGCAACGCATACCAGGTAAGTAAGAATTATTTTTTATTYTATTCGCTATTCAAAGACTTTTTCTTAATTCTTTAGTAGCGACTATTAAATCCCTATGGTTTATTTTTATTTTATCGTCTGTGCTTCATTGCAAGTCGCCTCTAGCTTATTTTGTTGGAATACAGCATCTTGGTCTGTCGAACCGTACGCGAAACCGGTTTGTACAGGCTTGATTATGCAGTGTAGCCGAGTCCATAATACCTCGGTCGTTTTTGTTTTGTCGGAATTTAAATTCCMTTTTGTATACTTTCCTGATTTTCGGGACTATATATTTTTAATAGATCTTCCGTGGATATAAACTAGGTTTTTTCGAGCCAAACAGTATTGTAGTTTATAGAGTTACGTAAGTGAATAATATGAGCTTAATTACCTGGTAACGCTTCAAGGGTCAAAGCCCATTCTTAAGATTGATGTTCAAATCAGTGAATATCTGCTAAGTTTAACAGGTGCTCAAAGTTTGTTTGTTTGTTGTTGTTTTTTGGTTTTTTTGTTTGTTTTTTTTTGTTTGTTTTTTTTTTGAAAGACTGAACTAGTGTAGGATATGAAAAAGGGACTCTACATTCTCATAAAGAATAGAATACAAACTTTGCATAACAATAGCTTGGGTCTAGATAGCTGTAATCATCTTAACATCGAAGACCCTCCATTCATACAATGGGTCATAAACGAACCTGTCATTACATAGTTACATCAACACCCCTCTTCCCCTTCAAACTTCCAGATTGTTGAAAACCCTCAGCGYAAACTAGCGCAACTTCCGGAAGTCAGTCCCTGTATTGTGGCACACACCAAGTGCAAATTAGATATGTTCCTAATTTGCAAAAATAAAATGGTTTGTAAATTGGGGGATTATTTTATCACCAAGTGCAAATTAGATACGTTCCTAATTAGCAAAAATAAAATGCTTTGTAAATCAAGGGATTATTGAGCGAAAGAAACATAGATGAATTAAAGAGTAATAACAAAATATGATATTTTTTTCAATTATTCATCTTAGGCGCAGTACTTATCGTTTYGTAATCAATCAAAATTTATAGTTCATAATCACTGGTCGTTCGACCAATCACAGCGCTTTCTTTTTAACTTTTGTGTAGCTTGAACAGGATAGAGTATAGCTCTCAGGTTTGTTAGCCTTCATCAGAATACTTAGGCGCGGATCAGTGATACAATAAGGGAAATTTTGTATGGATTGTACCTTTATCATTACAGTATCTACGTGACTAAATAAATAGGTGGGCATATACGATGACGAAATTTGGTTAGGGTGATTTTAGTTGGCCCGTAAAACAAAGTCATTATAATAAGTGACAAAGACCAAGTTAAGCCACTGTAATTGTAATTTAAATTGCCAACAAGAAATTCGACAATCCAACAAAACAAAGTTACAAAACCTATTGTTGTGGTTAGCACATTATCATCACAATGTTAATGCACGTAAACATTAAGCTCCGTTTACACTAGCGATTTTCGTGGCGATTTTTGCTGCGATTGTTTTGCGATTTTGTCCATAATAATTAATGGTAAAGAATTTACTTRTAAAGTTTTTTTCAGGATACCAAGATTTTCCTAGACGAATGTCTCTTTTGAAGGATAAGACAAAAGATTTCATATTTCCAAAAATTGCCACAAAAATCGCCGCAAAAATCGCCAGTGTAAACGGAGCTTAACGTCTATACCATCTTACATATACTATCTGCCTGTAAGGTGGTGAGAGGGATGTAGTTGAACACATTACATCGGATCGAAAGAGCCTTTGGTCAGTCGACGCGATCGAGCCTCACTTCGATGAATACGGTCCAACATAACAGCTGCAATCATTTCAAAATAAGCTGAGCCAATCGGAGACGTAGAAAGCAATACAGATCCTTTTGATTGGGCCAATGGTTGATGTATGTGCGATGGGCCGAATTACCCGGTTAAGTGTAGAATAGAGTATATTGCGACTACATTTCATGACAGTAACTTGAATTACTGATAAACTAGTGGTCCTCAACTAAATATTCTATTTTCCCGTTCTTTCGGAAAATGTGACGCCTGACTGGCCARAATAATGACTAAATATAGCAACTTTAATATATACTTCCATCAACATGGTCACATCCCAGGTCACATTGCGCACGCATGCGCATGGATTGACCTTTCGTCGATTGGTTAATATTGCACTAGCGTTTTGTGTTATGTAATGTGATGCCTAGCCACAGGTGTCTACCCCGACTTACTTGGTCATTCACTATCGAAACTACTATCAACTACAAGGTGAAATTGGAGTTCCTACAAAAACCAACACTACTGAGAAAAATGTCCACTATTACGCTGTCGCTTAAACCGTTTTCTGACTGTGACACCAAAGAAATAACATTTTATGAAGAAAATGAAACTAGGACTACAGAAATCTTGGTAAAGTGAAAAATCTAAATAATTACATTATTAACAGTTTCTTTAATTTTATTTATTTATTTTTTTTTTTTTTTAGGATTCAATAGGTTTGTTATTCTAATTCACGATCTTTACATTTTCATAAAGCATAGTAGTTTTATCATATTTTTTATTTATTCTATAAGCTGCATGTTTTCTTTTACGCATTGAAATCCTGAGATTGAAAGCTTTCCCCTTCTTTTTGATAAATGCAACCTAACAGTTAGTACTAATTATCACCTGTAGGTGCAAACAGGCAAACATTTTAATTGATGTCGAATCTCTCTGGGTTTTTCAYATTTCTGCACTTCTTTTCTCTTTCTACGACAGTTCCGCAGCGTWGCTCCAAACGGTGCCCACCCATGACTGTTATGTAACAATTATGCAATCTTATGCMATATAAACATCGCGTGATTATCCAAAATGTGCATTCTATCTTATGTTTCAGGATTGTTCGTTTTCCTTTGATTTGTAGCGTACATCCTGCCGTAAAAAGAAATGCTCCGTTCAACTATATATATATAAAACAGTTTACCATCTATTGTTAAGATRAGAATATGTGGGCCGCGTAGCACTTATGAAATACATCGTTCCCAAGCACTATAACTTATCATTATTTCTACATCTATTGTTACTCAAGTGTGGATGATTTTACGTTTATTAAATGTAGCTCAGTTAGATTTATTACATTAACTGACAGCTCTTATTCTTCATAAATTTGATAATTTTTTTTTTGTTGTTCTATAATTTTCTTGCATTTTTTGTTGTTAAATTGAAGGATTTCGGAATTGCCGGGATTCTAGCACAAGATATCGCGATTTGGAGTTCCTGGCCGAGTTAGATAGGATATTTTTATTGTGACTAGTTTCTCAACAGCATTCCTATTCAAAGAATCATTGCACGAACATTTGTGGCCAGCAGATCGACTTTTGTTAGAAACAAAGATTGACGGCTTTGTTTATGTTTTATCTAGTTGGTCGACCGCTATTGTCTTCTACGGAAGGTTTCTAATGATGTGTTGCAAGCATTCCCAAGAGAGTTAAAAGACAAAAACATGGCGGCTATTGTGGTACCGTTAACAATGGATGCTAGTGAGAAATCTTTTGTTAAATGGTACCAACATGGCCGCGATAATGTAACGTGACAAATCCACTCTGTTCGTACCCTCAGGATGATCATGAAGAACTACATAGCATGACACACGTCACTGTAACTGGTTTATATTATGTCTATCGTAACTGATGCAGAAATTTTAATAACGTCCGCCATGTTCCACGTTATGAATGATAATGTGAACGCCTGAGTTCATTTTCAAAAGCTGTTATATAACAAATCAGTGTAGCATCTAGTGAGGTAGATGCAAAAAAAAACAACAAAAAAACAAAAAAAAAACCAAACAAACAAAAAAACAACACGAGAAAGTGCGAGGCGAAAAAAAACCCTGTTTTCTTATGCCGACATAACAACGACGTCCTGTTGATTAAATTTTTCTCTATGTGGTTTTTACTAATGGTGTTCCTCAGTGTGGATGTAACGTACTCGGACCCCTYATCTCGTTGCGACACGGCAGAAAACTCATACTCCCGGGGTATTTAGATGTAGACACAAAGATTATGAATACAGGTGCTTCTTTTCAGTCCCCGCAGTGAAGGCCAAATGAGTTGAGAATACATGCATCAACAAGCCACGCCGTGTCAGCTCAAACTTCTTCGACTTGCATTCTTGTTCGAACATAAAATATTTTGCTTTCACAATAAAATTGTCCGACATTTCAGAATATCAATTCCTTGATACTGATTTTGATTCCTTTTTTYCCCCATTAGGACACGATTCATTCAGCAATCGAGGCGTTAGCAGAGATTACATGGAAGTTTCTTGACGGACCGCAAGTAACAGTAGAAGAAATGACTTTGAAGATCTTTTCTAACCCAAGAATCAGTAGTTTTCTTATTAACACGTCACGTCTTGCCGTCTTCTCAAAAGAATTGGCCAAATCGTTCCGAGCCGATCTTGACTCACTTGCTCTCATCAAGCAATTGAAGTATTTCTACAACCAGCCAACCTCCGGTGTCCTGCAACAACTCACCGATCTTGTTTCAAGGTACGCACTTGTCTCACTTACGATGAACACGAGGTTCATTCCGGATGGTCTGGTTTATATACAATGAATCAAATTCAAGTCTTGGRTGGGTTCTAGAAGCTCTCTMGCTAAAGTGTTTTTCGATCAAATGATTCGTTATCGCGAGAGAGCCTTAGGGTATTCTTAAGACKGGACTAAACATTTTTGTTCTTGCCTTCACTCAGGGTCACTAGTGACACCGATAAACTCGCTGAATGGAACAACATCTCCAAATTGATTTCTGAAAGCTCACTGGCGACGAAACCAGTCCGAYACGTCCTGCAAGAGAATGGGTTACCTGAATGTTACCAACAGARCGTCGAGTACCTCGAGAAGGCAGATCCTCATGCTGTATACCCAACATCGATTTATCGTAGCTGTGAGGGATATGTCCTGGCCAAACCTGACGCATCTGTTATAGAGAGTACTATGAGCACGACACTCACTACCACCATCAAGATTGTCAATGATGTGCTCAATCCTGCTAACAAGGAATTGAAGAATGTCTACCACCCTTTTGGCAGGTAGAGCATGCAATTCCACTATTAGCTTGCTGTTGTCAATGTACAACATATTATGATTATATATGTTTTGATTGATTGGGAGTGCTTCTGATTTCCATTTCATAAAAGAAATAAAAACTTGCTTGGTGTGCTGTGTTTAGGGTTCACGACGCGTGCCTCTCTTCGTGCTTGCCTAACACTTCTCTTGTGTTTTGCCAATCCCTGCGTGCTTTATAACCGCACGCGCGCGCGTGTATTTCTTCAATAGTTCATTGTAATTATTCCCTCAGTAGGTCAGCAAACACGTTCACCATTGTAAAGTGAGCCGCTTACTTTGCTTCCTCGATTGAGCATGAACTAACTATTTCCTTTTCTCTTCTTTATCAAGATGCGTTGCAATAATCGACGACAAAGTCGAGAAACTCTACGGTGAATCCATCCAGGTTTACTTTGACACTCACAACATCAAACTATGGAAACTGGTTTTCCCAGGCAACGAGGTAGACAAGGACATCTCCAACGTGGAAAACATGTTGGTCTCTCTCAAGAAGATCAAAGTTTYCAGGAATCAGCCCATACTTGTTGTTGGTGGGGGAGTGATATCGGACATTGCTGGTTTTGCTACGGCTTTGTACCATCGTAACACCCCATACGTCATGTTATGTACCAGTATAGTGTCTGGAATCGATGCTGGTCCTTCTCCTCGTACTTGCTGTGATGGCTTTGGCTTCAAGAACCTATACGGTTCCTATCATCCACCTGTCCTTACCCTGACCGACAGGAGCTTCTTCCGTACTCTGCACCACGGCTGGATTCGACATGGAATAGCAGAGATCGTCAAGATGGCTGTAGTTAARGATGAAGAGTTGTTTAACCTGTTAGAACAGGTTTCATCTGCCCTYATATGGACCAAGTTTGGYACTGAAATGGATGGCTTTGATGGAGATAGCGAAACGTTTGGGAAAGTTTGTGATCTCATCATTGGGAAAGCTCTTGAAGGGTAAGCTGGTGATTGAAAACTAAGCCTTACAAATGGGTCATAAAAAGGTTATTGCGTACTGATAAATAATGTTTTGTATCGTATCAGATACGTGCGATCAGAGTATGGTAACCTGTGGGAGACACATCAATGTCGTCCTCATGCTTACGGACACACGTGGAGCCCTGGGTACGAGCTGCCCGCAGGGATGCTTCACGGACATGCTGTTGCWACAGGCATGGGTTTTGGAGCCTATCTTTCCTTCTGTGAAGACTGGATAAGCCAAGAAGAGTTGGACCGCATTCTTAAACTCCTTAGCGGTCTTGAACTGTCTTTGTGGCATCCAATCATGGACGACAGTCTCAAGATCTTCAAAGCACAGGAGAAGATGATCGAAAAGAGAGGTGGTAACTTGGCTGCACCGATACCAAAAGGTATTGGAAACTGTGGTTACCTCAACCATATGCCTTTAGATCTCCTTCAACAAAGGCTGCAAGAATACCGAGACATTTGTCAGCAGTTCCCAAGACAAGGGCTTGGAATCGAAGMCCACTGTAAAGAAGTCGGCCTTGAAGATCCGGCAACAGTCGGAGGCGTCAATAAAGAACTACCAGAAGAAAAAGACGTGGACATTCAAAATGGCTGTGAGAATGGTTTAGAAAATGACGGCAGGAAAAGGAAARCCCTTACGTACCAAGAGTGGATTGAAGCAGTGCAGAAGAAACGTAACAAGGGGTTCGTTTCTAATTTGGCTTTGAAACAAGCCAAGGACACACCACATCCGCCTGAGTTTGAACCCAACGAAATATGCCATTCAGGTGAGATACTTTTATTGGATTATGCATTCCACTTTCAAAAAGTATTGTATAATGGTATGTTGCTATACTCATTCTGACACGGCTAACTCACAGATCGAACCCTGAAACAAGCTCTGGACTGATCTAAGTTAGGGCATGGCTAACTCACAGATTGAAYCCTGAAACAACCTCTGGGCTGATCTAAGTCAGGGCACGGCTAATATGGCTTTTGTATAGGAAAGGAAATAAGAAAACAATGAGAAAACCCCACGACTGAATCAACGGAGAGAGATCTAATAAACTCTACTCACATGACCCCACAGATGAGAGATGAGTATACGATACTACGCCTCTCTTGATTCCCTTATTTTCCAACTTCAGTGTATCCGCCGGAGTCCGTACTAATTCTCTAGTTACTAAGCTATTTGTTGTTCATCAGGCGTGGAAGATTATGCTGGTAAGGTATCACAAGTACCCAGTGCGGATATACAGAAGATTGCCATAGAAACCGAACAGCAACAAATGTTTACACCATGCATGGTGGGACATCTTGAGTCACAATTCCTGAAGATGATGGCTCAGATTGGTAATGCCAAGCGTGTGTTGGAYATAGGAACCTTTACGGGAATGTCTGCCATGGCGTTCGCTGAGGGTCTTCCTTCTGATGGGGAGGTGGTAACCATCGAGTTTGATCCGACAATTGCATCCTCTGCAGCTAAACTATTCCTTGGCTCAGCACAAGCACACAAGCTGACACTTAAGGCAAGTAAGACCAGTTTACACTGACCCCTCCGGGGAGTTACCTCTCATGAACATTTATCATTGTCATAATCTTCATCATCTCAGGGGGTTTATCCAGGGAAGTATACGTTGAGGTGCTTCTTTCGAAAATTTAGATAGAAATGMCTTGAAATTTGCACACGCAGCCTGCCATCTTCAAAGTTGCTATCATTAATGTGCAATTCATAATCGTTTATGTTATTTCAGGTCGGTGATGCTGTAGAGGTAATAAAAGAGATGAAGTCAGCACAAGAGAAGTTTGATATCATCTTCCTCGATGCAGCTAAAGATCAGTACATCTYGTACTATAAACTCGCCATGGATATGCTCACACCTTCAGGTTTTATTCTCGCTGATAACTCGCTCTGTGCCTTGTTGTACGACTCTGATGATTCTAGAAGGCAAGCACTTCATGAATTCAACCAGATGGTGAAGCATGATCAAAGGGTTGAACAACTCGTTCTTCCCTTTAGAGAAGGTATCTCAATCATACGACCAAAATCCTAGATCCATGTGCYTGTTCTCCACGATCGTAATTAAATATTTTGCATGCGCAAAGCATCTTTTTACCATACTTCTTTAACTTAATGCAATGTTAGTGAGCCACTTTTACGGTCACTTATTTATAAATGATATTGCTTGGCAATAACTTAGTCATTGAATGTGAACATTTATTGGAATACTGTAGGTTTTATTAGTACTGAGATATCAATAAAGATGTCCTGATACCTACAAAATCTCAGTGTAATTTGTGAGCCGTATTTTGGCATGAATAACTGACTTGTTAAGCCTAAATTACATACAATTTTTTCCCTGGAGATGGAATTTTTTCCTGCCGTCATGTATATGTATGAGTAACATCAGTAACATCTATAGAGCCGGGTTTGGGAGCATGCGCATTAGATTATCTGATAGTCAGTGCTGACCAGATGAAATGTGGGCTCTCAATGGAAGAAAACAAGTTGAGTATTTCTTGTGAGTTCCCACTCTTAGTCTTTCTCCCTTTCCCCTTCCTTTTTGACAAAACGTCAATGAAAATACTTTCCTGTTTGGTGCCTGCCTACCTGCCTGCATACCTGCCTACATACCGTACCTACCGTACCTACCGTACCTACCTACCTACCTACCTATCTACCTACCTATATACCTACACCTACCTACCTACCTACATACCTACCTATCTACCCACCTACCTACCTACCTACCGTACCTACCTACCTACCTAACTACCTACCTACCTACCTACCTACCTGCCTGCCTGCCTGCCTGCCTGCCTGCCTACCGTGCTGATTTAAACAATAACTTTGACTTTATTCTTTAGTTATCTTCACTGATTTTCTCCAAAGACTAAAGCTTTTTTCAAAAAATATGATGTTCAGTTAATCTAATCAAAATAGAACCAATTCATATRAGAAAAAACGCGAATTGGAGACCATTCTTTTTCTCGCCCACTCACCCAGCCCCCCGATGTAAATAGTAAACGATTAATTCCCTTGAACAGTTCAATGAATCGTTAAAGTATAACACGATACCAGCAGGTAATAGTGACACATTCATATGACC